CAGTATAAATGTGGGAAGGACAGAACAGAAATGAGGAGAGGAATAATAATGAAGAAGTTAAGATGAGCAGAAAAGGAAGAAAGAGCTAAGGGAAGGAGAAAATTAAAAACTATCTGTGTAGGGGAGAACAGCAGTGAGAAGCACAGCACAGCAGAGCACCAGCAGCCAACCAGCCCAGACACCAGACTTAGACAAAACTGCTCAGCTCTATGTTCTCTTTCTCCTCCCTGCCCTTGACAGAGAAACAGTCCCGCACAAGCACCATCCACTGGGTTGTGCCCAGGAGGATGAGTCAGGAGCTTGTGTGTTCAAAATGAAGGCCTGAACACTAGTGAGAACCTATAGGCATGCCAGGATGGGAATTGTTATCACAGCTCTTAGGGACTTTATGGGATGGAGACAAATTAAACAGATGCCCTTGCTTGTAACACACATCAAGCCTCACCTCCCCAACTTAGCATCCAACAGAGACACATATAAACACCACAGTTCTAGTCCTAAAAGCCAATCAAAATTAAAGTGGTATAGAAAGGAATTAATCCAATTTCTAAACATGGCACAGATACTTCAGTGAATCCTTCCTAAAATGAGAAGAGAGACTGCAGATCAGTCTGATGACTTTACACTCACCATGAAGAAAACCTTGACAGAGGGTGAGTGTAAAGACTGTCAGAATGCAATGCAAAAAAACCAATAAATAACTGACATAACAGGAAAAGCAAGAATTTGCTGATAAAAGTTCAATTTAAAGAAGACTACAGGTTTAATTATTTAAACAGGATGTTTTTTAAAAACCCTGTTCCTCTTTTCAGTGAGTTTTCAAGGTAAATTTGGAAACCAACACAAGCATTTATAGCGCCTTCTACTTCAGATAAGCAACAAAGCAAGAGGGAACTAAAAGGGCAAGGCCATATTTTGTGCATGCCTGAGAAATGACGCTGTTTGTATGATGACAGCAATAGGTTTTTCTGGTTTTCCTTAAAATTTATTTGCTCAAGTGGGAGTTGGAAACATTATAAGACGACACTGTTTTGAAAAACATGGAAAGGACATCCGTATGGATACACAAGGGTATAAACTGACATAAGCACTAAACAGCCCCCTAACCGATCAGAGTTAAAGGAAAAGTAGCAAAGTGACACGCACATCCTTCCAGTCTGCACTGCTTTGGCTTAACTGTTCATTTATAATTGCTCCCCAATATGTGTCATTTCATGATGTGCCCCCATGACTCTGACTCTACCCAAATGAGATTCCTCTCACACAGCAGCTTTTCCCATCCTCAACGAATGTAGGAGCCTGGAAGGAACCAACCTCCGTGCTCTGCTTATCTGGAGTCGCATCAACCACGCCTTTCACCAAAATCATGAAACATTTTACCGGTTTAGTACAATGTTTATACACACAGGCAATTCGGGCATCCCCCAAGGCTCCTTGAACACATAATGTCAATGAGCAGAGTAGGGCCAAGAGCACCACAGAAGGCTCAAAGTAAGGCACAGAAACCCGTGTCCATGAGTCTAAGGGTAACACTGCTTAAATCCATGTACAGACAGGTTTCTGCTGTAATTTGGAGCCCCTGAGAACATGGTCTGGACGTGGTTATTGCTACAGGCAAGGTGTCCTGAGGCCACTTTGAGGTCATTTGTCAAACCCTGACCTTGCCTCCAGCAATTCAACTGCGTCCATCCACTGTGAAGGCTTTTTGCATCCTTCCTTAGGATGAACTGTGTGACACAAATCCATCACCTTCTCCAGTTGGAAAAGGAAGATTCCAATTTTCACAGGGAATGCATTCCTGCCCATAACAGCCAAACTTATGTATACAAAAAAATTTCTTGGGTTTGCTATGAATTAATCAATATAGGAAGTTATTCTTTTAAGTTACAAAGGCAAAAAGATACTTTACTGTGGGTTCCTGAAAATTTTGGTCATTCCATGAATTTTGGATAATAACGTTTCAAATGCAAAGTTGGGTTTTTTTCCCTAAATTTTTCCAGACCTAAAATGCAACTTTATAAGCCATTGTATCTATTCAGATATCGAGGAGATGTATTATAAATATTTTCTGCCCCTTGACTTTTCCTTGTTATTGTCTTCAGCTGTAAAACTGCCTGAATATCTGTCGTACTTTCTGGTGTGCAAGAATAGCATACCCTGGACATAAAAAGAAACAACAGATTTTTAAAATGAAAAAAATCACAAGGGTACTTTCTTCAGATCTCTAAGAATTGCACTCATTTACAACTTATTAACTCAATAATCAACAAAAGTCAGTGTAACTCATATACATACACTCTATCAGCAAGAAAAAAAACCTGTTTATTTTCAAATCATATTTTTTTCCCTGTTCTTTATAAGAAAAAATGAAATAGCATAAGAAAGGAACATCTACTATGGCAATAGATACGCTGCCTCCTAACAAAAAACCCCCAAGTCTCATTATGAATCAAAGCATAAATCCTTTGCATATTTAAGGCTTGAGGGACAATATGCAATAAAATCTGCTCTCATTTATTAATTTTACAATTGCATTATGCATCAGGAAAGTGTATGTACACAAAACAAAGCTATATTTGTACATTTTTAATTGTAAACTCAGTTTCTTTTTCAGGGAAGAATAACCAAGTCTTAATGAAAATAGCTCAGCACTGAGGAGGAAGACCTTTGTAGGCACTATTTTCAAGGAATTAATAGCAGTTCCCTTGAATTCAGAAATGACCAGATCCCTGAGAAACAGAATATGAGAAATGACTACCATCCAGCTGATTTAGACACCATAATCCGTGTTCCTCAAGTGTCAGAAAGATGCCTCCCCTGTAACCAAAGGCTTCTTAAAAAAAAAAAAAAAAAAAAGATATCCAAAGAAACCATTTTTCTTGTACTGACCCACACAGTGAAACATCAGTCAAAGCCAGGACTTTTAGACTTCCCCTGTATGTAAACACAGCAGAAAATGGTCTGTTTGGTTTCTAGATGAAGCAATCACCATTTCCCAACCTGAGCAGCGATCAGCGTGTTTTGACAGTTATTGCTACAGAGACTGGCTTAGTCATACTGACCTGGCCAAAACTGCATCAGCCCCATGGCACTGCTCCTGGGGCCTCCAAAACAGGCTGGTTAACTCCTTCAGGGGTGGCTGATATTGCTCCTGAGCTGGCTGCACTTGGACAGTTACCTGTTATCTGTTGCCAGGCATTAGTGTACAGCCCCGTGTGGTCTGGGGGGATCTGAAGGTGGCCCCTGGCCATGCTGGCATGTCCAGGAGTCACACGCACTCTCATTCCTCTGCTTGTGCCTGCCTGACAGATGTGCTGGTATCCTGCAAAAGCAAATATTATTACACAGCTCGTGCTTGTTGCACTCCAGAAAATAAACATATGAAGTTTTCTATGCAACAAGTTTATCACTGTTTCAATAACAGCTAGCAGAGCAATCTTTCTCCCTGGGGGGCAGCAGCTAATGCTCATTGAGTCTCTTGCTTCTGCTAGTCATCAGCATCAAAATTTATACTGACTTCCCAGTGTGCTGAACTTGAGAAAAAAAAAAAGGTATCATGAGTTCTGTGTTCAGATGCAGCAAAAAAAAGAAGGCACAGAGAAGTCCTGTATGTCTTGTGCAACTGCCAAATTCATTTTGCAGATGCAGATTTAACATCTAAATCCCGTACCCAATGTGATTCACATACTGCATGCTAAACCACAGAGCCACGTGGCAGTGTTCACCATTTATGAAGTTGCCTTGATAAACAGTTACAAATGCATGAGGCTTCACTATTTTGCCCCTTCCACTAAGAAGTAAAAATCCTCATGGAATGGAGGTGTCATTCTAGCTGTCCTGTACAGGCAGTTCTCCTGGGATTGAAAGCACTTTTCATGTTTCCAATAGTCAGTGTTTTCACTTTTTCACTACCGCCTTTTTACATCACAAGGAATTCTTAAGGTGAATATACATCTTATTTACATGAAGTGGAATCCAGGTGAAAATCAGGTACAAACCATTTAGCTATGATCAGCACTTGCAGTCACATACTTGGAATTTATAAAATAGCATCCTTTGAGATGCAGAGATTTACAGCTCCTCTGGTGAGCAGCACCAGGTTCCCACAAGCAGATTCTCACTGCCCTAAACACAACCATTTTTCCCAGATTAATCTTTGCTCCAAGGTTCCAGCCCCATTTGATATCATGTTTCTCCAAAACATAGCAAAACAGAATTCCAAGTTTTCACATAACTACCAAATTATTAACTGAAAAATAAGATTGATTTCTTATCTCAAACTGTCTCACAGATATCCATGACATCTGCTTAGTTTTTCTTTCCCTATATTTGAAGTCTGGAGGCTTCTTCCTCACAATTGATGGAAATTTTTTTGAATGCAAGCCAAGTCAAGTAAATTCGACTACCTTCTTAGCATTTGCAGTTCAGTGTGAAAGATATATTTGTCTCAGTGATGACTGTCAAATGAAATGTCTCATCACAATATAAGTTCAGAAATGCAGATGCTTCCCTGAATCACTGCTTCTGGATTTAAAACAAGTGAAAATGAAAAAGCACCTTGTAGTCTTTACCCAACCTCTTACTTCACGCTCCAGCTGGATCCTGCACTACAAAGTCTTCAGTATTATTTTACTTAACCTTGGCGGTCACTCTCCTGGAGGTGGGGGGAAAGCAGGGAAGGAAAAAGTAATATTCCTCTGAAAAATTTCCCTACATAAAGAATTCTGGAAGTATAGGAGCACATTCAGCCTCTTCAGCACAAGGCTAGGGAATAGGAAATGCAATGCCTTCATACACTGCAATCTGGTTTACATCCTTACCCCTTATTTTTTTATTTTTAGTCCACGCATTTGCCCACAGAAACACTGTGAAACTGTTAAATGCTATAACAATGCATACGCTCTGAGTGGTAAAAGTGCAGCTGTCAAAGACTCCCACTGTTAATGGTTATGATTTAACTTTCGGTTGTTTTTTTTTCCTTTTTTACTTTCTCCTCCAAGCTATCCCATTTGGCAAACTCCCTATTCTGGAAGTAGATGGAGTTATCATTCACCAAAGTCTGGCAATGGCAAGATACCTTGCCAGAGAATCAGGTAAGATATTAGACTATTTTCTTTCTCTGTTCTGAACTCACCTTTAATGCTTAGGAAAAAAAAATACATCAGTAGTGAAAATAAAAACAAATCAACAACTTGGCAAACCCAACCACGCAGAAGTCAATATCAGCATGGCAATCACGGTACTGGTGTTTTTTCCAGGTACAAACAGTTCATAGTTATCAGCCCCTTGTTGCATCTGCAGTTTGTCAGCACCAACTGCTGACCACAGGAATGCAGTGTACCATACAGGATGGTATCAGAGCTGTCACTCAAAAAAGCACTAAGGAGCACTTTGTGGTGGCATGGCCACTTTCAGCAGCCTTCCTTACCATAATTTGGTTACAACCAGGCTCACTGGGTTGGGACTGCTGTGGCAATCCTGATGAGATCTCAGGCTACGTTCCCTGCCTTTCCAAGATCAAAAAGAAGAAATGGAGCAAGGCACACTCACTAGGGTGCTGTACAACAGGGTTTAGAGTCACTCAAATGTCATTTAGAAAGTAAAAAAGGAGACCAAAAAAAGGTTCAAAGTAACAACCTGTAGTGTGAAATGCTATGACTTTCAGAGCTAAAGTCATGTGGTTGAGCTCTGAATTTGCACTGTAAGTGTGTATGCCTAAAGGAAAACTCAGAAATAATCCCTCCCATGTCTGATTGATTTTCCACTCTGGATACAGTGCCTGGAGTTTGGGCTGACTTCTCCAGCCAATAAACTTTATTCACCTGTCACTGCATGACAGAAAGTGCATACCTGTGGCCTCCCTAAGGCTCTCAGGGCAGTTTCCTCTGAAGTTAAAGTTTGAGCTGCCAGGTTAACCAGAGAGATGACCAGGAGAAGGAGGTTTTGGAAGCATTAGAGATTATCACAGCAGGCAGAGCACCCTGAAGCAGATTTAGGCAACAATTCTGAGCTGGCACAGAGATTAGACCAGATGGTGACATCACTTGCATCTTTAAATACCTACACGCTATGGAAGTACTCAACCAGTTAGATAAAGTGATATAAGACTTAGTAATGCAAGTAATCAAAGAGAGTAGCCAAGCTTTGCTTTAGGTCAGCAAGGTCTCATTCAAAACCATCTGCAAAATTGGTCTGGCTGAAGGCAGATGTGCCCATGGCATGCTGAATGTCAGCAGATTGAAGAGGGGTGCTGGGTAGCAAGTACTATCCTACTTTTTTCACAATGAGCAAAGGGATGTAACCTGCCTTTCAAAATACCTCACATTTTTTAGTTCAGAGCATTATTCTTCTAGGCAATAGCACAACATATTTTCAAGCATGTCTGCAGTACTGTGTTCCTGCCAATTTCCTTCAGCCTTGACACAATCTACTCCTTGCAAGAGAAGAGAATGATGAGAGTCCACTTGGTAATGAAAAACAATGAGAAAGCCTGCCTCTCACCCACACTTCCTTCCCCCCTGTCTCCTGCTGGGAGGCTGATCTGGAGCTGTGCTCCTTATGCAGTCTGAAGTTCTGACTTCCGCATTCTCCTGACACCTTTTCCATCGACTTGCATCGGATACAAAGGCTTGGGATCTGGAGCACACTCAAACCATGCTGTTCTCTTTTCAGTGTTAGTCATGCTGTCAGCTACAACAGAAAAAAAAACAAGCACGGAAGGGGAAAAATATATTTTCAACATAGTCAAAACTTGCTAGTTCTGCCATTAAGTTTGCATACATGTCACTGATACTTTAAAATTAAGAAATGGCATTTTTAGGTGCCCATCACCAACAACTCTTAATTGAAGGTTCCCAGAACTTGATTCCCAAAAGGAGAGGCACATCCCTCACCTTCAGAAGCAGAGTTTCAGTAAGGGAGATGACTTGGCAGAGGAAAGGTGTACAGTTTGTGGGAAGCAGAGCTTCCAGGTGAGGCTTAAAGAACAGAGAGGAAGAGAAGGATGACCTGAACCTGCAGAGGTGAAAGCATGAATGCATATTTGTGAAATGAAAGTGAGAGGGGAAAAAGCATTAAGAGAACTGCAGGAAAGCCAAAGGACAACAGGGGAGAAAAGCAGTTTTGTAAACAAGATGAATTATATCTAAGGTACCTGATTACAATGAAATAATCAAAAGCAAATGCAATGTCATGAGAATGTTCTCAATGGGGCTGAATGGGCAGGGTAGAGGGAAAGAGAAGCAGACTTTCATAGATGCTTTGAAGAATGCATTGATCAAAATTAAAAGACCATGAGATGAAGAAAGACATTGAAAGCTTGGATGGGGTAAGATTAGCGGACAGGAATTTGTGCTGATCCTCACTGAATGTGCTGGGGTGGTGGAAAGCAGAGAGGATAAAGAAACAATATTTAGGCTGTGGGCTCAGGTGATGGAAAGTACAACTCACTATGTCAGATGGCTGTATGAAGCTGGAGAAGAAAAAAAGCGAAGGTAGATGAGATTGCACCTGGATGCAAGGAGTTAAATCCTGGAGAATAGGTATTTTTATGAAAATATTCAGGGTTTACCTGGGGTATCAAAAGTTCCTGCTGACGCTGTTCTTAAACTCCCTTTATATGCTTGCTTCCCACAGGTCTGGCAGGTCAGACGCCTGTGGAACAGGCACTAGCTGATGCCATTGTGGACACCATAGATGACTTCATGACACTGTTCCCGTGGGCAGAGAAAAACCAGGACGTGAGAGTAAGACAATCACTAATTTAAACAAAGATAGCACATAAGCCATGACTGATCATCTCCTCTGGAGACACTGAGGCGTGTCAGCCTCTGGGTCCATCATCTCACCTCAGCAAAGTTGAGCTGGAGGAGCTCTCTGGTTCTTCCTAGAGGCTAATGCAGACAAAGCAGCCTGCTCTCTTCCCTGTCCTATTTCACCAGATTTTTTCCATCCTTGGTGAAAAGGAGGCCATCATGAGCTGCGTCTCACTGGTTCACCTTGAATCAAGGATGCCATATGTGTGTACACGAAACTGCTCTTCAAAAGGGGAAAGCCAGGACACTTCCACTCCAGCTGGCACTGTGCGATGCCTCGCTCTTGTCGCAAATCACCTAGGCTCAAATCTGTCTCTTTCTGCTAACTCACAGCCCCATCCCATCTTTTAGCACTTCTGCATTCTGATTCCTGGTTTTCAATCAGTATCAGTTTTCCATAACATCCGCTGCCAGGACAACTGCTTTTCAGTGCGCAGAACAGTGTAGGAGAGCGGGCGCTGCTTAACAGGGGAGGTGGCACATACCTCACTGTCACTGCAGCTGTCCTCTTCAGACTGCCATGGCCCACCTCAGTCCTTGGCAGTGCTCCTGCAAGTACTGACACTGGGCTAACACACTGCCATGGCTATTTTAACACACAGTCATGGGCGTGCCTTACAACATTTGGGGCTTTTTTTGGCATCGGTCCAGTGCCTCTCATCAGAACCCCAAAGGAAAGCATGCAGATCAGCTGCTGGGGGAAGAGGGTGGTGGATGAGTCAACTCAGATATTACAATGGCTCCACACAGCTCTGACCCAAGCAGATGACCTGACCTTTTTAGGGAAGTGGTAGTGTAACAACAGGTCTCACCATGAACTACCTACCAGTGCAGCCACCTTCCATTTACTCAAAGGTAACGTTTCAGATCAACTAGGGTATTGTATTACAGAAACCGTGGAGTACATAATGTTGCCCCAAACCAATAATTAATAAATATGTAAAAAAAAATGAAAATACTCTGAAATCTTGTAGAAGAAAATCTGAAAGTGTGTTTAGAGGTTTAGTATTTAACAGCATGAATTACTTACATTTTGTCGGGATTTCCTGAAGTTTCCTACTTTGGGCAGGATAAGTTGACTCATGAATTTTAATCATTTTGGAACAGCCACACTATTGCTCACGTGCCAGTGCAGAAGCAGCACTACTCCCACAGCTGCTCCTCCACGGAGAAACGCCTGTGGTAATGCCTGCGTGTGTCCCAGCTCGTACTCAAGCACTTCTCCAAATCAAAGACCCAGATCATGTCACCAGTGATTAATTTAAAAGGGAAGAGAGTTGGCAGGCAACCCCTATCTGCCCGTACGCACGTATACATGCAAGGTTGTGTGCTGGGGCCAAGGATGATCAAGAAATTTACTTTGCTGGACTCTCCCAACATTTTTCTCCCCGGTAGCTGTTCTCCCTCTCTCTTCCCGGGTCCACTGCCACCACCTTGTGGCAGAAGCGCCATCTCACGGTCTCGCCAGGCCAGATTTAGGTCATTTACCCTTAATAAAGTCAGAACAGCTCCCCAGGCCTGACAAGTGCTTACAGGAACACAAAACCCTCAGAGAAAGGTGAAAGGATGTGCTATGCTATCTAGACAGTAGCAAAGAGAAATTAAAGCAAAGTATAGGGAGCAGAGGTGGAAGCTGCCCATGGAAGCTCCCTTGGTTCCAGACACAGCCTTACATTCCCCAAAAACACAGCTGGCATTGCCACAGCTTTGTCAGGCACCACTGCAGAGCTCCAGGGCTGAGACGAAAAGGTTTTGCCATCCCAGAAGGGGGATCCTGGTCTTATCCTCACCAGCTTCACAGCTTGACTGTGTACTCCTGTAGTTGGGGGAGGTCATTACCACCACTATCACACAACAGTTTGGGGTTTTCTTTGTGGGGTGGAAGGGTGGGGTGGAGGACAACTTACCTAAAAGAAAGGAAATTCTGCAGCACAGGGTATAGATATGAGATTTCTGGACTGCAAACTTGTGGGTGATATTTGTAGTCATCTCATCCAGTTACTAAGTTCTTAACAGATAGTAGAAAATTATGTCAAGTTTTCACCGGTGTCTGTAGAAAAACCATTTTTATTTCAGCCTGCATTTAGGTTTCTGCCTCTTCTAAATTTTATTCTTTTTTTCATTAACCTGAATTTCAAAGCTATAGAAATAATTCCATTCCTGTACACCAGTCCTTATTTAATCAAGCCTGAGTATGCTCCTCCAAAATTAGGCCAAGCACATTAACTGCACAAACTGTGCCACATGGGTTGACCAGATGATCACAACAGTCTGCACTCTTGTTTCCCTGCAAGTGAGAAGAGAAAACCAGAAACAGCTTCCCTCTCCCTCTCCAAAGGAAACAGTTTAACCCTTTAAAAGCAGCCTTAACACTTTCTGCTATGGTGGAACAGCTAGCAGAGAACCACCACCATACATAACCTCATGCTTCAGCCATTAACATGCACATACTAAGGCCTGAGTCCTCATCCTTTAAAAACACGTTAGCCATCTCAAATCTTATTGTTGCAGAGACAATAAAAAGCAGAATAACCTGAACATTAAAGTTCAAAGATAAACCCGTGCAAAAGCTGAAAACCCAGGTTCCACATCTCACATGAGGTGGGCTGGTAAGGACAGATAACTGATCAGCATCTGATTGACAGCATGGAAAGACTGAGCTTAAGGAATTCTGGAAATTTTAAACTCTGTACACTAGAAAACATGACATTCAAGAGTCCCCCAAAAAATGACTGTGAGACATTGGGAATATATTTTGCAGCTGGATTCTTCCCAAATCTATGGCGGGGCTCCTGCCTTGCCATGGCTGGGTGACTTTTAGTACAGAAAAAGGAGCAGCATCACTCCAGATATCACGTCTCAGCATTGAGGAGCTCTCAGGTTTTCATTAAGGGAGCAATAGGCTTTAAGTCATGGCTCAGTGAGCCATGAATGCCATGTTTTGGGCATCCAACTTTAATCTTTCACATTTCAGCTTCCTTTTCACAAACAACACCCCCCCAATGTTCAGTTTTGTCAGCTGCTGTGCTTACACATTGGTTTGCATCTCTGTGTTTTGTTCTTCCTCCAGAAAAAAGCATTTGATGACATCCTCACCAACAAAGCACCTGAGTTACTGAAAGACTTGGATACTTTCTTAGGGGATAAAAACTGGCTGGTAGGGAATTCTGTAAGTATAATTTTTGTTTCTCCCATTCCAATCAGGTTGCCAGAAAGTAACTGAATTTCTGTTTCATGCCAACCCACGAAACAACTCTCCCACACTTTTTATTCTTACCAACACACAATTGGTCGCTCAATTGCAAAGTGAAAATTGTTTTCCATACCATTGCAAAAGTGAGGCTAACCAAGACTAAGATCTGCATTTTCTAAAGCAGTTCATAAGTACGTTGACACGAAACATTTTAAATGCCTCTGCACTAGTGAACAGAAGCTCATTCTGTTTATAATCACTGACCAATTTATAAGGTAATATGAAAAAACCCTCTAAAAAAACCGTAATATCCTTTTTTACCCAAAACTGTTTTAAACACTTTTCTGCAGCACAGTTTCAGCAGGAAAGACTAATATTGTAATACAAGTAATATCTGTAGCAAGGGCTTTATTTTAACCAATATTTACTGAAGTCAAGCCTTGCTTTACAACCTAATTACTACTCTATAATGATGGGCTTCAGAAAAAAAGCCAAATCCACAACCTAAGCAAAATAGATAAATTCACATTTCATTTCTGCAGTTTTTTGAGAATACTAGCAGTTCCAGGTTTTGAGATAACCAACGAAAATTTACTGCTTTTTCTCCTACTTCCACTAGGTAACATGGGCCGATTTCTACTGGGATGTGTGCAGTACAACACTTCTGACCTGTAAACCTGACCTGGCAGACAAATACCCCAGGCTTTTGGCTCTCAAAGAGAGAGTACAAGCACTTCCAGCTATTGCAGCCTGGATCCAGAAAAGACCAAAGACTGTAATGTAGATCAGCTGTTCAGAAAAACATATACATGTTTAGTTTTCAATGTGACAAGCATCCTAAGTTATTAACTCCAGAATCATTTGTAAACTTCAGACAGGTACGCTGCATCAAATCAAAATCTACCACTTTTTCTGGGAGAGAATCTAAAATACTGATTTGGTAGAGTAATAAATACTGTTTTGAAGAGGTGTGGTTTCAATCACATTCCCCCGCTACTAATGCAGTGCTTGATCAAACCAATTAATGTTTTAGCACGCTCAAATGGAGATGAATAAACCCTCCTGGAGAGGTGCAATCTCAACAATACTTTGTCTATTGCAGTCTTTCAATCCAGAGGAAAACAGGTTAAATAGTGAGGGTAAATGTGTGGGAGGACCCACTTGGTCAATAAAATTCAAGAGACTATAGAAAGTGTTTGAGAAGCTCGAAGTTTGTGCTCTGCCACTGAGAAAAAAACCAACCATAACCTCCAAAACAACCCAAAAAAGCAGCTGTTCAGCTGAGGTGGTGCCCACGCTAGCACCAGTTTTCCGTAAACACGCCTGCTGCAACAACAATCAACATTTCAGTATCTCTTTCAGTAAGTAGGAGACACAAATTGGGGGTTGGTGGTGGTAACCAGGTTTAGAATAAATGAAGAGTTCATTCTTCCAAGACTAGGGAAAAGGTAGGTGGAAGTCCTGACAATGTGGATGGTTGTAAGTGCAAGCAGTTTATACAAACTCAAGGGGAGACAAGTGCTTGCACGAGGACTACACTGTGTGATATAAGCAGATACACCACAACAAATTTGGGCAATCCTCTGGGCTGGAAATGGCCACTGCTGGGAAAGTATTTCTCTTCAAACTTGCTTTTCCCTCCCATCATTAGTATTATTTCATTGAATCATGAGTGACACCAACCATTCACTAACAGTTCAGAGGCAGGTAAGGTACTGGCAGAACAGAAAGCAAGAACCAATCTTTAGCTCATTTCAATGTGGTATCTTCACCTGCTTCGCAATTCCTTGCACACTTTGTTCTGGCTCTTTATAGATTTATCCTTCTTCAGCTCCCATCTCCTCTCTTCTTCAGCAACTGACCTCAGATCATGGTGGTTTTTGTTTTTTTCCCTCTGTACATCTTTCCCAATCAGAGACACAGAATCATAGAATGTTTGAGGTTGAAGGGACCTCTGGAGGTCACCCCTTGCTCAAGCAGGGTCACCTAGAGCCAGCTGCCCAGGACTGCATCCAGACAGCTTTTGATTATCTCCAAGGGTGGTGACTCTACAATCTCTTGAGACCTTAAATTAAAGAGGGTAGAAATAGTTACAATAAATTAAAAAAGGCAGAAACACATATGAGCTTCATAGCACTTAAAGACAGATATTGATCCTGGCGGTCTACGGATATGATTGTTTGAGAAGTAACCACTGCTCAGTCAGACTACATTAACTGATTCCATACACATCCAAAACACCACACAAACCACCCTACAGGGCAGGGATTTTGTTTCAATTCACATCTGAAGCAAACAGGTGAGAATATGCAAATACAATGGGCTAAGAGTTGGGTTAGCATCATGCGCGACAGAAACAGGCAATCGCATTAACTAGCATTAAACACCTGTGGATGTCTGTTAAATCCTGCTATTTAGCCCAAGAGAACCAGTGGAATTATAGGAGCATGGCAGACAAACTGATTCTTACCCATCTCCTTTCCCATATAATAAAGTATTTCTTCACTCTATATCAGCTGTGCATTTTGGAACATAAAGCACAGCACAGAATATTTCTAGGAAAAGCCAAGCAGTTTAGTTCAAACTTTGAAAACATTTTAAGGGATTTAATCTTTCATCATGAATTTGCAGAAATAATGCACAGTTGACCAAAACCACCCACAAAATACCCACAAAAATACCCACAGCCTTGACCAAACAAAAAAAAAAAAAGCATGTCCAAGTCACAGATCACCTCACTGGCTTATCACTAGCACAGTATCTGAAAGACAGGCTGAAAAACTGAGCAATGATGGACTCCAGCTCCTTTTCCCTCCCTCTTCATGGAACACTGTTTAAGTTCCTTCAAAAGATGATACAACTGTCTTTTGACTCTGACAACCAGATCTAGCAAAGGGGTAACTAACTATCAAACCCATATTGAAAACCAGAATGAATTCTCAGATACAATCCTCTGAGTGGTTCAGCCTGGTACAGATTTGCTGAGCTCTGCACAGACCATACAGCAGCTGAGGCTTTGACAGAGGGCAGGGGCAGTAAGAACTCCACCAAACTTTGCCTTCCCCCATTGCTTTTTAAAAAGCAGCAGTCTGAATCAACCACTCAAGTTCAAAAAACCAAAAAAAAAAAAGTTTATGTCCAGGGCAATGAACGTGCTCCTCTCCTACCTCCTCAAATCACATCCTTGCCAGCAGATTATAAACTTCAGGTGGAGGCACACCTCATCATTGATACCCCTGAGGCTCTTCATTTCACTGAGATGAACTCAAAATTCATTGAAACTTCAAGAAGAGAGTAAGACAAACCTTGGGTGTAGAGCACTTTGTTGTCAGAGTCCAGATCATGTATCTACAACAAGGACTGACAAAAAAAATTACAATTTGGAAAGTTCCATTTGGCAAGAATTCTGTTTATACAATCAACATACTAACACCACTGTGATTAGAGTATAATGAAACATCAGTAATTAACTAGTGCTGGATAAAGACAAGTCAGTTCAAACAGAACATTTCAGCAAGTTTGAAAGCTGTCTATTTGATTTATAACATGCAAGTCAGCATGCCCAACCTGCCTCAAATAACCAAACCATGAAAATATTTTGTCAATCTATGGAATTTTATTGGAACAAGTTGATACAAAACCAGTACGGTACATCAAATGAACCCAAACAAGCAGAAACAAACAGACTTGAGCATTGTCAAATAAGGCACATATAAAAAAATCTACACATGGAATCCAGTGAAACAGACAGTTTATATATATATATATATTCATATTTGGAGGTAGAAATAATTACAAAAATACTGACAAATCTTAAGCCGTAGCAGATTGGTTAAAACAATTACTATTTAGGTCCCCATTTTGAAAAGTGATCTGTAAAATTAGGTTCATTCAGCATCTCTTGTTGGCACATTTGGGCCATTTATGTTTTTAAGCATCCTAAGAATGCTATCAGTGTTAAAAATTTTCAATACCATGAGGAATAAAATAAAGAAACTATAAAAAGTTATAAATGTTCATAAAACTCCTGGTCATCAGAAATGTAAGAGTCCTTGGGGTACATCATCACCTTTCCTTGAATTTCACAACATATTTACATTTTAGAGACCCAACGAAGCTTTTAATAGTGTGGCTATATCTGCTGGAATGGTTCCTTCTTCTCCTGAGGAATAAAAACAAATATGAGTAGAGCTTAAAATATTTCACATAAACAGACAAAGGTCTACATTCCACAAGACTGTAAAAAAAAAAAAAAAGAAATCCTCTGCTTAAAGGACTTTTTCACTGATTTCTGGGTCAGAGTTATAGGGCACTTACTGTCAAATCGAATAATAATCAGCACAAATACATCTTTCTAATTTAACATAAAAAAGACAACAAAAGGCTTGTCTGCGTCAAGAACCTTCTTTTCTCAGAATAATATATTACAGTAGCCCTAATTTACTTCAGGGGACATCATTATGTGCAAGACACCTACCTGCATCTGCTGCAGTCATATCCTGTTCTAACTTCAATTTCTGCTGGCTGATTTTGAGCATGGATTCTTCAATAGTCTCCTTACTGATTAGCTTTATGACTTTTACTTCTCTGAAAACCACAAAATAGGATAAATCCATATTTATATTTTTTTAGGATCAGTGCAAAAGGGAAGGATGCTATGCCTTTGCCAGCAGTGGTTTAAAGCAAGGATGAAGAAACGAATGAAAGGGCAATACAAAGAGCTCCTAGTTTTTCTCTCTGGAACAACTGCGCCCTGTACTGCCAGAAAATGAGTCTTCTCCTGCACTCTCAGCCACTGCAAAAGTCTAGACAGTCACAAAAATCTCTATTCATACAAACAAGTCAAATTTCCCCTAATTCCACATTACAGTTGAAACACCTGTTATTAAACACATTCTATGGTTTCACTCTTTATGATACGGTGGCACTTAAAAGCTTAGAAGTCTCTTGAAGAGAACAGTTTGGCCAAACAGTCCCAAAGACTTCAGATCTGCCTCGAAACAGTTCCCAGTACCAGAAATTTGACAATTTTAGAGAATTTGAGTTGTAGAGAACTAGAAAAAGGAGGAGAGTGTAAATAAGGTTTGGTTTGGCAGCTACGTGTGCTAAGACAATTACAGTTCCTAGCTGACACAAAACGCAGAGCTAGTTTACACAAGTCTCTGCTTGAAACAGAATTTTTAGTCATAAAATTTTGTCCTTTTAGCCTCCTTTGAGAGTTTTCCTCCAAGAAAACCCAATTATAACTAAAAAGAGTCTTACCTTGTCTGACCTACTCTATGGCATCGGTCTTCTGCTTGCTTATCGTTGTACGGGTTGCAATCAATGTCATGAAGAATAACAACATTTGCTGAGGTCAGATTAATTCCCAAGCCACCAGCTTTGGTTGACAGAAGGAATACAAATATTCCCATATCTGTATTGAAATGATCTATTAGATGTATCCTGCAGAACACAAGACACCATTCATCAGGCCTTGGAAAAAACACCACACTGGCTCCAGAATTGAATACAGAAGTTTGGATGACGAAAGGACAGTGGCACCACACAGCAGGTCAAAAGTACAGATGTTATGCAGAAGGAAAAAGGGTACCAAGAGTCCTCAGCAGTGACCACAGAAACATACTGAGTGACAGATCAATAGCAAGAAATGAAAAAAGGCTTAGAAAAAGATTTTTGGTGTTCACAGAACACAAAGAGCAAGATGGAGGATGGGAAGACTGAAGTACATGAAACAAATGGGGAGGCAAGGGATGAGTGTCTTCTGTAGTAACTGCAAGGGCAGTAACAGACATCAGCTGTAAGGGGGAAGTAACACCATAACAAGAATCAAATTTTTTTGAAAAGAAGGAAAAAGCATCTAAAATACTTCTTTTTTTTTTTAGAATTCCTGCAATAACAAACATGCACAGCTCAAATACAAGAAAAGCATTGCAACATTTTCAGCTGTAAGGACAGACTAAATGGTTTGTCCTAGAGAAACAAAGGGGTTTATCTGGCTACTGTAATAGAAATATACTATACTTCCAAGGAATAGCTACAGGTAAGTTTTTGTTATGGCATACTGTCACACAAACACACCATGAACTGCTGAAGATACGAGCTTTCCATTTCAATGGGTAAGACTGTAACCTGACAACTAAAACTCATCTTTCAGCCTCACCCCTGCTAAAGTGAACTGAAATCCAACATTAAAGCCCTTCCACAGTCAATGCCCAGTGACCACAGA